CAGCATCATACAGTTTGACTGTTGGCAAATTATCACATACTCCTGCTACATTTGTGATTCCCTTATACTTTGATGTGACATCATTTGCATATACAAAGTTAACCTATCGTAAAGACGTGCTAATGTTAAGTTTTATACTAAGTTCATCAATGAAAAAGTGATTCTTTATTATTGTAAACAGTTCTTCCTTGTTTTGGATATGTGATAAATAGAAAATTATATTTGTGTAGGTTCAATACTATTTATTACCCTTATTGAATAAAACAAAATTATGCTTACCAGCACAGGCACGAGTATCGGACCTGGGATGAAAAAAATATGACCAGATTGATAATAAAACCTGTGTTCATCTTAAAAGTGTCAAAAACCAAAAAAACAAGAGGGCCATGATGGCCCTGAAGTCGCTCACCTGTATATAGCCCCCCCCCCCCCCCTGGTCCAATTTTTACCCAAGGGCTTTTATTTGTTTATTTGAAACCCATAAGAAGATGTTTCATGCTAAACATCTAAGTTCTAGCTCATTGGGTTTTTTAAAAGAAGCTTTTTAAAGTTTTTACCATACACATATAGTTAAAAACAATGACACCCCTGGGGCAGGGCCAGTTTTGACCCCCGGGCTTTTATTTGAAAAAACTTTGTAGATATTTACTTAAAGATGTTTCATGCTTAATATCTAAACTCTAGCTATTTGGGTTTTTTCAAAGAAGATTTTTAAGTTTTTGCTATACACATATAAGGAAAAGCAATGACCCCCCCCCCCCCGGCGGGGCCAGTTTTGACCCCAGGGCTTTTATTTGAACATACTTGGTAGACACCCATTAGAACATGTTTCATGCTAAATATCTTAGCTCTAGCTCTTTGAGTTCTTTAAAAGAAGATTTTTTAAGTTTTTACTATATGCATATAGGGAAAATCAATGACCCCCTGGGGCGGGGCCAATTTTGACCCCAGGGCTTTTATTTGAACAAACTTGGTAGACACTCATTAGAAGATGTTTCATGCTAAATATCTTAGCTCTAGCTCTTTGGGTTCTTTAAAAGAAGATTTTTTAAGTTTTTACTATATGCATATAGGGAAAATCTATGACCCCCTGGGGCGGAGTCAATTTTGACCCCAGGGCTTTTATTTGAACAAACTTGGTAGACATTCACTAGAAGATGTTTCATGCCAAATATCTAAGCTCTAGCTCTTATGGTTCTTTAAAATAAGATTTTTTAAGATTGTAGTATATGCATATAGGGAAAATCAATGACCCCCCGGGGTGGGGCCAATTTTGACCACAGGGCTTTAATTTGAACAAACTTGGTAGACACTCACTAGAAGATGTTTCATGCTTAATATCTTAGCTCTAGCTCTTTGGGTTCTTTAAAAGAAGATTTTTTAAGTTTTTACTATATGCATATAGGGAAAATCAATGACCCCCTGGGGCGGGGCCAATTTTGACCCCAGGGCTTTTATTTGAACAAACTTGGTAGACATTCACTAGAAGATGTTTCATGCTTAATATCTAAGCTCTAGCTCTTACGGTTCTTTAAAAGAAGATTTTTAAGTTTTTACTATATGCATATAGGGAAAATCAATGACCCCCCGGGCGGGGCCAATTTTGACCCAGGGCTTTTATTTTGAACAAACTTGGTAGACACTCACTAGAAGATGTTTCATGCCAAATATCTTAGCTCTAGCTCTTTTGAGTTCTTTAAAAGAAGATTTTTTAAGTTTTTACTATATGCATATAGGGAAATCAATGACCCCCTGGGGCGGGGCCATTTTTGACCCCAGGGCTTTTATTTGAACAAACTTGGTAGACATTCACTAGAAGATGTTTCATGCCAAATATCTAAGCTCTAGCTCTTAGGGTTGTTTAAAAGAAGATATTTAAAGATTTTTCTTTTGGTTGCCATGGCAACCAGAGTTCTGCATGGAATTAAATTCTTTGAACAATTTTTAAAGGTGACCACCAAAGGAACATTCCTGTGAAGTTTGGATGAAATTGGCTCAGTGGTTTATGAGGAGATGTCATTTAAAGCAAAAGTTTACGGACGACGGACGGACGGACGCCGGACGAAAAGCGATCACAAAAGCTCACCCTGTCACTTTGTGACAGGTGAGCTAAAAATTGTAAAAAATGACCCCCTTTAAAATATACCATAAGTTAAGAGAAGGCCGGAAACTCCAGATTCGAGCCTACGAGCAAGGGATTCATTTCCCGAGCCGTTGTGAAAACAAACTGGTTTCCGGCCTTCTCTTAACTTATAGTATATTTTAAAGGGGGTCATTTTTTACAATTTTTTTTTTGGTTTTTGACACTTTTAAGATGAACACAGGTTTTATTATCAATCTGGTCATATTTTTTTCATCCCAGGTCCAATACTCGTGCCTGTGTTTTAAAGGGGGTCATTTTTTACAATTTTTTTATTGGTTTTTGACACTTTTAAGATGAACACAGGTTTTATTATCAATCTGGTCATATTTTTTTCATCCCAGGTCCGATACTCGTGCCTGTGCTTACCAGAGGCTTTTTTGCATAATATAATTTTATTCAACTCATTGAACAAAGTCATTATTGAACCTACACACATTCAATATGCTATAATTATTCTTCTTGTCAAGAAACTTCAAAAGTTTAATCTGACAAAGGAAGGAGACATTTGAGCCGTGTCACGACAAAACATGCATAATGGGTTTGCAACCAGCATGAATCCAAACCAGCCTGCCCATCCACTCAGTCTGATCATGATCCATGCTGTTCGCTTACAACTATAACAAGTAGATAAACTGATAGCGAACAGCATGGATCCTGATCAGACTGCGTGGATGCGCAGGCTGGTCTGGGTCCATGTTGGTCTCAAACCCATTATGTTGGTTTTGTCATGACGCGGCTCATTTATTTTTTAATTTAGTGTTCATAAGAAATGATAATGTAAAATATAATTTACCAGGCCAATATTAATTATCTTAATTCGAACAGTCTCATAATTATAATTGATTTAAGTAAATAGTACATTGATATAAAGATAAAATATATATTTTAAATTGTAGTACATGTAACTGTAGGTTTTATTCTTTTTCAAAATTTCACCATTAACATGATTAAATGTTGAATTCTACTTAAGCAGGTACTAGGGGCTGTGGATGGTAACTTGCACATTCCAATACTATCCATGTACAGGCTCAATCAAACCGAGCCAGCTTCATTTTTAATTTTGTTGTTTTGAGCATTCTTTACGGGTTCTGTTTTTCTCTATTTTGTTTTGTTAACCACCAATTTTATTACCATTGCGATGCATGCATAAAGTTGTGCTACACTGTCCGTCTGTCTGTACAGATATTTCATACTCATCACTGACTGGAATTTATCAATTTTATCAAAAATATTTATGAAGACAATTAACTCACATTAATTCTAATACAGAACACCACAGATCAGAATCATTTGAGCCATGCCATGACAAAACCAACATAATGCGTTTGCAACCAGCATGGATCCAGACAAGCCTGCGCATCTGTGCAGTCTGATCAGGATCCATGCTGTTCGCTTACAAACCCAATAACAAGTAGAGAAACTGATAGCGAACAGCATGGATCCTGATCACACCGCGCGGATGCACAGGCTGGTCTGGATTCATGCTGGTCGCAAACGTATAATGTTGGTTTTGTCATGGCGCGGCTCATTTACAAAGTTTTAGAACAGAATGTTCATATGTATAATATAGTCATAGTACAAATGCATGTAACCAGAGTCATGCAAGAATGATGTGGAAAAAAAGAAGACATATTTTGTATCTGAACATGATATTGCTGCCATGGATTGAGTAGTGTAAACAGTATCTTGAGCTCTTTAAAGCATCTACTTTACATTTAAATATGAAACTGTTTTTTTTATAATTTCTTTGAATTATAATGCTAGTTGTGATAAATATGCCATTGTTTGTGTAGCAGATAAAAGAAATGCAACAAAAGAATCAACTGGTTTATGAGACATTAGATCTTTCTCCTGATGATAAAAAATATGATGAAGCGAGTTTAGTTAATTTATGTTTTATAATGGAAACATTTTGTATATTAAAACATAATCTTGCAGTGATAATAAACAGTATTTCACAACATAATGTCATAATGGATAAAAAAAACATCTGCGCAGTCTGATCAGGATCCATGCTGTTCCCTTACAAACTCTAACAAGTAGAGAAACTGAAAGCGAACAGCATGGATCCTGATCAGATTGCACAGATGCTGGTCTAGATCCATGCTGGTCGCAAACCCACTATGTTGGTTTTGTCATGGCGCGGCTCACATGATCTTAATCTTGTACACTAAAGGTTCTTGTTTCTATGTAATACTAATACATTATAAAACTAGTGACTAATCACAATTTTATTTTTAACCTGATGCTGATATATAGCAGGTTAAGATGGTTGTGATCAAACTTTTTGTTTAGAATGTTTCACTAAGGTTGATATATATATATTTCAGGTGAGAAGCCATACAGATGTCCACTAGATGGTTGTGATCAACTTTTGTTTCAATATTTCATTAAGGTTGATATATATATATTTCAGGTGAGAAGCCGTACAGATGTCTACTATAGATGGTTGTGATCAAACTTTTGTTTAGATATTTCACTGGGTTGATATATATATATATATATTTCAGGTGAGAAGCCGTACAGATGTCTACTATAGATGGTTGTGATCAAACTATTGTTTAGATATTTCACTAGGTTGATATATATATATTTCAGGTGAGAAGCCGTACAGATGTCCACTAGATGGTTGTGATCAACTTTTGTTTCAATATTTCATTAAGGTTGATATATATATATTTCAGGTGAGAAGCCGTACAGATGTCTACTAGATGGTTGTGATAAACTTTTGTTTCAATATTTCATTAAGGTTGATATATATATATTTCAGGTGAGAAGCCGTACAGATGTCCACTAGATGGTTGTGATAAACTTTTGTTTAGAATATTTCATTAAGGTTGATATATATATATTTCAGGTGAGAAGCCGTACAGATGTCCACTAGATGGTTGTGATAAAGCCTTTGCTCAAATGTCAAACCTGCAGCATCATATGCGTCAACATGATAAAAGCACGTTTGGACAAAAACAGTGCATGTGTCCATTTTGTGACCGAGGTTATGCTAGTGAAAAAAGTCTCAAATCTCATCTTAGCAAGGTATGTTGAACAAAATGAAAACTTATATAATTTCATTTGCCTACTGGATGGAAGTTTTTTGATTGTTTGGAAAGAGTTTTTACCTCCGTGCCTTAGAGTTTCTTAAAGGTTTAGAAAATCTCATGATGGCTATAAAAAACTTTAAGTAAAGTAATTGTTCTTTAAAAAAGTATTAAGAAATATTGGATTTACATAAAAGTCATTTTGTACTATATCTAGGTAAACTAGTTATGAAACTGTCCTATTGTATAGTATCTGGAAATTTAAAATATATTAAAATATCTGTCTTGCAGTACAGTATATGAAAATATTAAATTAAATTATCTGTCCTGTTATAGTACAGTATCTGTAAATATAAGAATAAGATATTCTGTCCTGTAGTACAATATCTAGAAACACTAGGTTTGTTTGTCCTTCTATAGTGCAGTATCTAGAAACACTAGGTTTGTTTGTCATTCTATAGTGCAGTATCTATAGTGCAGTATCTAGACACACTAGGTTTGTTTGTCATACTATAGTGCAGTATCTATAGTGCAGTATCTAGACACACTAGGTTTGTTTGTCATTCTATAGTGCAGTATCTAGACACACTAGGTTTGTTTGTCCTTCTATAGTACAGTATCTAGAAACACTATGTTTGCTTGTCATTCTATAGTGCAGTATCTATAGTGCAGTATCTAGAAACGCTAGGTTTGTTTGTCATTTTATAGTGCAGTATCTAGACACACTAGGTTTGTTTGTCATTCTATAGTGCAGTATCTAGAAACACTAGGTTTGTTTGTCATTCTATAGTGCAGTATCTATAAACACTAGGTTTGTTTGTCATTCTATAGTGCAGTATCTAGACCAACACTAGGTTTGTTTGTCATTCTATAGTGCAGTATCTAGAAACACTATTGTTTAGTTTGTTTGTGCAGGTTTTATATAGTGCAGTATCTAGAAACACTAGGTTTGTTTGTCATTCTATAGTGCAGTATCTAGAAACACTATAGGGTTTGTTTGTCATTCTATAGTGCATATATCTTAGAAACACTAGGTTTGTTTGTCGTTCTATAGTGCAGTTCCTATAAACACTAGGTTTGTTTGTCATTTTATAGTGCAGTATCTATGAACACTAGGTTTGTTTGTCATTTATTTAGTGCAGTATCTAGAAACACAAGGTTTGTTTGTCATTCTATAGTGCAGTATCTAGAAACACAAGGTTTGTTTGTCATTCTATAGTGCAGTATCTAGAAACACTAGGTTTGTTTGTCATTTTATAGTGCAGTATCTAGAAACACTAGGTTTGTTTGTCATTCTATAGTGCAGTATCTAGAAACACAAGGTTTGTTTGTCATTCTATAGTGCAGTATCTAGAAACACTAGGTTTGTTTGTCATTCTATAGTGCAGTATATAGAAACACAAGGTTTGTTTGTCATTCTGTAGTGCAGTATCTAGAAACACTAGGATTGTTTGTCATTTTTTAGTGCAGTATCTAGACACACTAGGTTTGTTTGTCATTCTATAGTGCAGTATCTAAAAACACTATGTTTGTTTGTCATTCTATAGTGCAGTATCTAAAAACACTAGGTTTGTTTGTCATTTTATAGTGCAGTATCTAGAAACACAAGGTTTTGTTTGTCATTCTATAGTGCAGTATCTATAAACACTAGGTTTGTTTGTCATTCTATAGTGCATTATATCTCGAAACACAAGGTTTGTTTGTCGTTCTATAGTGCAGTTCCTATAAACACTAGGTTTGTTTGTCATTTTATAGTGCAGTATCTATGAACACTAGGTTTGTTTGTCATTTATTTAGTGCAGTATCTGGAAACACAAGGTTTGTTTTTACATTCTATAGTGCAGTATGTAGAAACACTAGGTTTGTTTGTCATTCTATAGTGCAGTATCTAGAATTACTATAGGTTTGGTTTTTACTGTTCAGTAATACAGTATCTAGAAAAAAGAAAAAGTAGGTTTAATAACTATTCCATAAAAAAAACAACCAAGCAGACAATTTGGATATGAAAGCAGTTATAATTTGAAGATGAAGGCTGAAGCTTCAGTTTTCATTTACAAGAGCAAGTGTGCATTTTTAGGAGTTAGGAGAGAACTGTTGCTGTTTTGAAAATAACACAGGTCATTTTCTTTGGTGTATGCTTTCTCCAAAGTCAGATGATGTTTTGAGCACAAGACCCTTAGTAATAATATTGTACTTCAAAGTGGAGTTCAAAGACCTATCAAGCTTATAACTTTGTCATTATGGGATAGATTGTGGATATATTTAATAAACCTATTTTTAGGTCACCTGGTTAATTTTGTGACAATTCTTGTAGTTTGTTCATGCTTTAAATTGTCTGGCTGAATACTTATTGGTGATATCTATATTAAAAAAAAACATATAATAAAATTTGATATTATCAACATTTAATTTGAAATAATATTAGTAATGAGGAAAAAATATTCTTTTGTATTTTAGTAAATTAAGTTTTGCGCGTCCAATCCTGAAAAACTATACATCCTTAGGGAGTGATAATTGCGTCACCTGATAAAATCCTCATTATGAAAGTTATGGTTTTTTGTCATGGATTTCATTGCACATTTCTTGTGCTTCTTTATTAAACTTCCGCCCTCTAGCTATATATTAAAATCAATGAGAAAATAGCAAGGCGTGTGATTAAAACAAAAAAATTCTCCTAGCTTTGAAACCTTAGTTTCAGAAAGGCAGTATGTCGGAGATTTCTGTTTCTGTTTTATTTTACACTGGTGACTTGAAAACATTCCTCATTATTTAATCTGTTAGAATACATATACAAGGAAAACTTGTGCATTTTCAAAGATCAGTTTCAAGCAAAAACATTTTAATTGCTGAAGTATGAATGTCTCAGGATTAAATGACAAGTCCTGATAATAGAGCAATTACAAAGTAATAACAAGTATTTGCTGGAAGAAATGAGACAAAAAACAAAACTCTGTAAGAATTCCATATTATAATTATGCTGGGTATATGATGTTGGGAAGAAAAAACTATTTGTTCATGGGAAAATATATATATTCCTATTTGTTCATGGGCAAATATATATATTCCTATTTGTTCATGGGCAAATATATATATTCCTATTTGTTCATGGGCAAATATATATATTCCTATTTGTTCATGGGCAAAAATATATATATTCCTATTTGTTCATGGGCAAATATATATATATATATTCCTATTTGTTTATGGGCAGATATATATATTCCTATTTGTTTATGGGAAAATTATATTCCATTTATTCACGGGCAATATCATTTCCCTATTTATTCATGGCAATATATATATTCCTTATTTTTCATGGGAAATTAATTTTTTTCCTGTATGGAAAGTTATTTAAATTATACTTGGATCAACTTTTTGCTTACCTGCTGATTTTTTGATGAAATGCTTTTTCTTAAAATTCTTTTGAATTTTCCTATTTCATTTCCTCTAAGTTTTAGAGAGGTAACCAATAGAAATAGAGTTGCGGCCACAGTTACACAAGGTTTAATGCATTTCTGACTGATTTATTTAAATTTTAGATTTTATTGAAATAAAAGTAAATGGTGATATATAATATGATCTGATGCAAAATCCTCAATGCCTGCTAGAACTTGCACATTGCTGGGTTAGTTTGGGTTTTTTATTTTGGTTTGCGCTGGACATCACATTTACAGGCATCTTATGACAATAAAAAATGTTTGTCCATAAACATTCATTTGCTGGCAATTTTAACAATTAAAATACACATGTTTGTTTTTTTATATTAATTACAATAAAGTATGGTACAAAAACTGTCAAGAAGCTTAGAATGTGAGGAAAGATATTGATATAGTTGGATTTTAAATTGTCGGTTTTAAAATGAATGTTAGTTAAAATATTAGAATGAATAGATGACAATATGTAGAAGATGCATGTTATTAAAATTTGTTTCTATGGCAGGCAATGTTAATAACCATGCAAAATAAAAAAAAATGACCAAAAAAAAAAATCCAAATTCCTAAAAATCTGGAAAGGGATACTTTTTTAAAAAAACTTAAATATGGCTAAAGAATAAAGGAATTATTTATATATTATTATATTTTTTGTTGCCTTTTTTGGGTTTACTGCAGAAGAAGGAGTAGTAAAACATGAACACTTTTGTTGTAAACCCCAAACAGTAAGATTTTACTTTTTTGGGTAAAAAGACATTAGTATGCAGCAACTAGTTGGTATAAACTTAGTCATGCAGTCACTATGTAGGTATAAGAAAAATGTCATGCAGTATAGTAGGTATAAGAAAATGTCATGCATCATATGTAGGAAAAGCTTATCATGCATTACTTTTTGAATAAACAATAGTCATGCAGTAACTATGTTGGTATAAGAAAATAGTCAGGGCATCAGTATGTATGGTATAAGACAATAGTCAGGGTCATAGATGGTTTAAACTTTAGTCATGCTTCTTTATAGGGTTAAGACAGTAGTCATGCAGTCACTTTTATGGTAAAAACATTGTCATGCAGTTACTTTATATGTATAAACAATGTCAGCATAACTATGTATGGTAAAAAACAATAGTCATGCATTACTAATTTTTTTTATAAGCAATAGTCATGAAGTTACTATGTTGATAAAGCAATAGTATGCATTTACTTTTATGGTATGAGCAATGTATCATTACTTATTGGGTATAAACAATAGTATGCTAACTATTATGGTAAAGAAAATATTCATGCAGTCCTATTATGTTATAAGCAATAGTCTGCAGAAAATATTTTGTTATAGACAATAGTATGCAGTTATATGTAGGGTTTAAGACAAAGTCATGCAGTTACTATGTTGGTTTAAGACAATAGTCATGCTTTACTATGTATGTATAAGACAAAGTTGATTTATATGTATGGTATAAACAATAGTCATGCAGTCACTTTATATGGTAAAAGAAAATAGTCATGCAGTCACTAATATGTTATAAGAAATAGTCGCAGTTACTATGTAGGGTTTTAAAGAAAAAAGTCA